TGCGGGGGAGCCCAGTGCGGGGCGCGCAGGAGGCAGCCGATCAATGATTCTCTCATCATTGATGTTTCTCTCTCTCTCTCCCTCTCCCTTCCTCCTGAAATCAAAAATATTTTTAAAAGAAAAAAAGAAATGTCCTCAGAGGCAGACATGGAAGAACAAGATGGTCTGAACCGGGCTCATTGACAAATTCCAGGATGTGAGCAGGAAGGGGTGCATCCCAGAGGTCCGTTCAGACCAGGGTCATGAGAGGCGTCCACGCCGCAGGCTTTGGGTTTGGGAACTCATCATCCCAAGAAGTGATGCCGGCCTCAGCCGTCAATGGTTAAGTGCAGTTGTGGTTGACAGAGGGCTGAAGATGCTGGGGGAAGCCCTCATCTTTAGAAGTGAGGAGTACCCCAGCCATCCACAAGGCGTGTCACTGCGCAGGGACAGTCCTAGGTCAGCCCAGGGTAGGATTCTTTTCTTTTTTTAAATATATTTTATTGATTTTTCACAGAGAGGAAGGGAGAGGGATAGAGAGTTAGAAACATCGATGAGAGAGAAACATTGATCAGCTGCCTCCTGCACACTCCCTACTGGGTATGTGCCCGCAACCAAGGTATATGCCCTTGACCGGAATCGAACCTGGGACCCTTCAGTCCGCAGGCCGACGCTCTATACCAGTGATGGCGAACTTATGACATGCGTGTCAGAGGTGACACGCGAACTCATTTTTCTGGTTGATTTTTCTTTGTTAAATGACACTTAAATATATAAAATATCAAAAATATAAGTCTTTGTTCTACTATGGTTGCAAATATCAAAAAATTTCTATATGTGACACGGCACCAGAGTTAAGTTAGAGTTTTTCAAAACGCTGACAGGCCGAGCTCAAAAGGTTCGCCATCACTGGTCTATACACTGAGCCAAACCGGTTAGGGCTCAGGGTAGGATTCTTATACTCACAGGGGAAAGAGTACATAATGAAAGGGAAGAAAGAGCCCTGGCCAGTTTGGCTCAGTGGATAGAGCGTCAGCTGCGGATTGAAGGGTCCTGGGTTTGATTCCAGTCAAGGGCACATGCCTGGGTTACGGGCTCGATCCCCAGTGTGGGGCGTGCAGGAGGCAGCCAATCAATGATTCTCTCTCATCATTGATGTTTCTATCTCTCTCTCCTTCCTCTCTGAAATCAATAAAAATATATATGAAAATAAAAGAAAGGGAAGGAAGAAAAAAACACACAAGGGAAGGAAGAGACACACTTAGACACGGGAAAAAGGAAACTTGTGGTAAATAATGCCACAGGACCCAGCGCATCCAGCTCCCTCTCTACTTTAGCTCGGCTGAGACCGGCTGGGCCTCTGGCAGCCCCTGTGGAAGGACACAGCCCATTGGCTTCGGCCTTCATGTCCCTAAGGCTCCAGGAGGACCCAGGTCATGACGCTGAGTATCAGAGGAGGGGGTTGCCGACCTCTCCCCACCTTTGTGATCCTTGAGGCTGCGGGTCTCCAGGGCACCAGTCGATCCTGTTTCCGACTCGACATCATCTACAGACGGCCTCTCGGAAATGTCCGAACGTGTGGTCTCATCGGCCTCCTGGACACTGGTGGGGCTGGAGAGGGCGTCCAGGGCTCCTGGAAAGGCGGCTGGGGGGTCCGAGGGAGGGGGAGAGGGGCCGCTGCTGTCTCCGGCAGAGTCCTGCACCGAGGCCTCCAGAGAGGCGGCGTAGCCCAGTGACAGCGCCAGCTCGTCCTGCGCGATGGGCACCTGGCGAGAGGGACAGGTTTGAATGGACTGCAGTGATCCGTGAGGGCTTCCTCCCCACCTTGGCTGCTCTCCCCAGAGCTGGTACCTTGGAAACACCTGAGATGATGAGGGTGCTCCGCTTTGTGGGTGTTTTCTTGGCTGCCCGCCCGCTGGGCTCTGTCAGCTGGCGAATGGCTGTCTCTGCCACAGGGTCCAGGCCGTTGGCAAGGTGGCTCTCCCCTGCTGGGCAGAGGGTGGACCCGACTCCGCTCCAGCTCCCCTTGGACCAGAACCCCCAGGCCCCACCCAAAATGGCTTTGACTTTGGGGCCCCAATATCAGCTGACACTCCCACGTTCCAGGTCCCCACTCACGGCTGCTGCTGTGGGAGGTGCTGCTGGGGCCACCGCTCTCACTCAGCACCGTCGTCTTCTCGGTCACCTCCACCTTGGACGGGGAGCGGGAGGGGGAGTCTGCTGGGTGGGGGAGGGTCAGTGAGCTGGGGGTGTTTGAGAATGGCCCCCGCCCACCCCGTCTTTGTTGAGATGTAGGCTTTGGTGACTCAGAGATGATGAATCACAAGAGTGATTACGAAGATACCATGGGGCCCTAGCCGGTTTGGCTCAGTGGATAGAGCATCAGGCTGTGAATTGAAGGTCCCAGGTTCGATTCCGGTCAAGGGCACATGCCCGGTTTGGGGGCTTGATCCCCAGTGTGGGGTGTGCAGGAGGCAGCCGATCAATGGTTCTTTCTCATCATTGATGTTTCTCTCTCCCTCTCCCTCTCTGAAAGCAATAAAATATATTTAACAAAAAAATATTTCATATTCCTTATAAAAAAACAGGAAGAAGAAGATGCCCCGGGGACAAAGAGGCACCACAGGACTAATGGGAGTGTGGGGAGACGCCATGAAAATACTGAGGTGCGAGATGGCACATGGGGCCCCTGGATGGAGGGGAATCCCATGGGACCCCTAGAGATGGGAGAAATGTCATGGAGGACCCTGGGAGTAGAAGAAACACCATGGAGGCCACTGGGCGTGTGGAAGGGTCCTGCAGGGCACTGGCTGGCTGAGGCTAGAGGGAGGGAAGATGAGGCAGTGGGGCTGGGGAAAGAGAGGGGAACGGACCCGGACCCGTGAAAAGATGGGGAACTTAGGAGGTGGAAGTGCAAGTCACCCGCAGTGGCGGGGTGGGTGGGCCCAGGGTTGACATGGGAGGGACCAGTCAGGGAGAGGGAGGGTGAGAGGGGAAGTCCGAGGGAGACAGAGATAATGAGGACGATGCGGTGGAGAACAGGGGTGGTTAGGGTTAGAGCTTTCCTTGCCCCTCCCTGTCCCTCCACCGACCTGCCGCTCAAGGCCCCTGGCCGCTGCTGGGCTCTCAGCTCTTCCTTCTTACCTGACTTGCCATCTACAGTGCGAGGCCGGGACTGGACAGTGGTGACCGTGGTGACAATGGTGCCATCAGGCATGATGGTGCGGTCCAGCTCGACCTTCTTGGTAGGTGTGATGCTGGGGCGTGGCATGGAGGGGGTGGGGTTCCGGGGGGAACCCTCCTCATACTGAAGCTGTCGAGGGGTGGGAGCACAAAGAGGCCGGGCCTCAAAGACCACCCTGTGCTACCTCCTCCCATCTTTCCCGGGTCGCTCCTCACCTCCACTGCCACGGTGGCTGCGGGTCCCAGGGCTGTCCCAGGCCCCGGGGTGAGTGGGCACACCTGTCTCCGGGACAGTGGTCTGGAAGGGGAGCCCACGGGCAGTGTGGCCTGGCCCAGGAGTTCGGCTGGGGAAGGGGCAGCACCATGAGCTGGGCCCATGGTCAGGCTCCACTCAGCACCCGCCTCCCCACGCCCCTCAGGGTGCTCCTTCCGGCCTCCTACTCACCGTCTCCACAGTGGCTGCTCCTCAGCACCCTGAGGACCAGCTCCCGGCTCTGGGGGCCCAGATCCCTGCGGCCAGGAGAAGCAAGGGCAGGGAGGGGGGAGGTTAGCAAAAGGAATCCACCCTCCAACTGATCATAGGACAGAGGCAGACAGTGACGTACGTAAATGAGATGGTATGAGTGCTCCAATCAGAGGCCCCTGCCCTCCAAGGACTTCCTCTCCCAGGAGAATAGGAGAGGGCCCGAGTGGAGACCATCCTCCTCAGCGGGGCATCCAAGCCCCTCTGCCCCTGCCCCGCTCCGCCTTCCAGTCTCTGTCTCTATGTCAAACCACCATCTTCCCTTTGCTCATGCTCTTCCCTCTGCCGGGAACACGTGTCCCTCACAGCCTGTTGAAATCCTCCTGGTACTCGAAGGTGTGGTTTAAATATCGCCTCCTCCACGGAGCCTGCTCTGATCCTTATTCCCCTCCGGGAATTACTCTCCCCAGGGGGGCGTTCCTGTGCACTTTTCGTTAACTTAACCTCGAAGAGACCACTAATTCCATTCTCTTTACATCCATCTATCTCTGCCTCGACACGGAAACCACACCGAGGTGGGCACTGAATCGTGGTCACATCTGTACCCCAGGACCTAGTGGGGGCCTGGCCTAAAGGGGCACACATCAAGGTTTAGTGACAACAGAGCTGGTTCGTGCCAGGCTGTGCTGGAAGGGATGCCGGTCTGCCTGGGAACGGGGCAGGGGCGGGAATCCTTACAGGGCCAGGTCCTCCGGCCACTCCACCTCGGGACCCGCCCTCGCGGACTTGGTCCACTTCTGCTGCATGGGGTTGTCGAGCTCGGCCATGCAGCACAGGTCCCCAGTGCCTGGGAGGAGACAGAAATTAGATGCTCAGATCAAAGATGGGAAGCCACTAAGGAAAAGAGAGGCCAAGTGCCTGCAACCATAACCTCAGCAGCCCCTAGCCACGGCGAGCTCTCACCTTCCAGCTCACTTCCCAAGTGCGATGCTCGAAGCTGCCGGAGGAATAACCGGGTGGGTCTGGGGATGGCTGGCTGGGCCTGGGACAGCGTGGGTGGCTTCTCACTGGGTACCTAAGTACAAAAGGTCAAAAGAGAATTCCAACATAGTACCCTGGAGACACTATGCCTGCAAACAATTTGATTTTTTAAAAAATATGTTCTTATTGATTTTTGGAGAAAAAGGAAGGGAGAGGGAGAGAGAGAGAGAGAAACATCAATCAGCTCCCTCCCACAAGCCCCCTGAGGATCGAGCCCAAAACCCAGCATGTGCCCTGACCAGGAATGGAACCAGTGACCTTTTGGTGCATGGGATGATTCTCAACCAACTGAGCCACACCGGTCAGGGTGCAAACTATTTGCTCTCAGTGTCTACTCACCAGTCCTCCAGGGACAGAGCACGCCCTGAGGTTGACCATCATGGCTGGCTGGGTGCTGACGATGGCATCCTCTATCAGCTCCTTAATCGTGGAGAGCTCCACTTGCTCCTCACCTCTCTGCAGGGAGAAGAGGAGCACAGAGACGGGCCCCCAGCTCGGCCTCCCCTTCCCTGCTCTGCCTCTTCCTGCCTCCCCCGACCCCCAGCCCTGCTCCCTTACCTCTCTGGCCTGCAGCTTGGGACGCACTGTCAGGCTGAGATCTGGGCGATTCCTGAAGGCCCAGGACACAAGGAGCCCCTCGCCAGGGATTTCCTTTAGGTTAACTTCCAACTAGGGACAGGGACCAAGAGACTGAGATGACTTGCCTACTCCTCCAATTATTCCCACTCCCCAGGACCCTCCCACCCCAATCCCCTCTTAGAAAGGAGCCCAACTGAAAAGGCAATTGAACCACCTGCTGCCCAACCCCATTTCCCACACCCCCTCCACCTGTGTTGGTGGCAGTGTCAGAGTGATGTGGTAGGTCTCCATGGAGACGGCAGCGGGGGACTGTTGGGTCACAGAAACTGGGAACATCACCTCCTCAGCAGAGAGCTGACAATGCAGCACCTGGGACAGGCAAGGCATGGAGGCAAAGAGGGTTAGGCATGGAGGAAGGATGCGCCATCCTGCTTTGCCCTGCTCTGTGATGGATCAGCAGACCCTCCCACTTCGGCTGTCCTTGAGACTTTACTGTTTGGAGGCCACAAGTCCATAAAAGAATCGTAGAAAAGCCAAAGACTCTTCTCCCCAGAAAAATGCAGATGTGAACACATGTACTGCATGTTGCATGTCACTTTAGTGGGATTCTCAGACCTCCTGAAGCCAATCCTTGGATCCCTTCGTCATTCATCAACCTCAGGTTAAGAGCCCTTGGACTAAAGGGAACTCTTGGAATCAGCCCCCTCTGAGACCCTAAAGAAGCCTTGCCCAGCAGACCCTTACCATGGTGTTCTCTGATTGGTCTACACAGGTCACATGACCAATGCTGGCTCTGGGTAAGAGTTGGGGCACCTCCTCAAAGGCGATCTGGATGGAGCTCTGAGGGAGTAATGTGGACACAGGTCAGGTCTTTGGAGCTGCCTCTACAGGGTGAGCCTGCTGAGTTGCTGGCCGGTTCTGGCACTGCTGAGGCCGCAGCTGCAGGCTGGCTCCTGACCCCTCTTTGGCTCAGGGCTTTCAAATAGGATGTGTTGTCCTCCAAACCCACCTCTTCAGGGCCCTGCAGCTGCCAGGGAGAAGTGGGGAGCTAGCCCACCACAGAGACCAGGTCACCGTGAGCAGAAGGCCCTAGATTTTTCCTGGAATACCAGGAGCCTCCCTCTTCTCCCCCCAACTTCCTCTTCATCCTCCACCCTCCACCCAAAGGAAAAGGGATGCACAGAAAAAAATAGTCACGTTGTAGGTTGTCACTTATATATGATAGTTGGGCAGACAGAGACATGACTGAGCTAAGCGTAAAAACAGTAAGGCCCACTTATTCAAGGCAAGAGCTGGAGAAATGAGGCCAAGCTTCTTCCAGATAAATAGGATGTGGATGCACAAGAGTATGATTCTAGCCATGCTCTTGGAGATGAACAGCTCAGCCTGGCCTTGGGGAACTTTACCAGAGGGACTGGGAAGAAAAGCAAGCTGAAAGGGCTGCAGGGTCCAGAGGTCCGGCTAGTCCCTCCAGGCAGACAGCAGGGTGGTATTAGGGAGCAAAAGGCTGCTTAGCTTAGGGCTTGAAAGAGCTTCCTAATTCTTTCATTGCAGTGGAGGCAACTTGCTGCAGCCCTGTCTGGAGAGCAGGGAGGGAAGGAGAACTGGGCAGGGGCCCAGACGGACTGACAGCTCTTCCTTGGGCCTTGGGATGGGAGGAAACAAATCCACGGGGCTCATCTGCCTGCCGAACCCAGGGAAGCCAATTCCTGGCTCTGCAGTTGTCACATCTGGAGGCCGGGCCCCAGGAGATGGCGAGACGGATGCTTGGAACCCCAATCTCCCCACTCCCTGCTAGAGAGGCCAATGTCCAGCTGAGTCAGCTGCCCTGGGAGTCACTCCTGACCAAGGGACAAGGTGCGGGGAACACCAGGGAGGTGTGAGTCCAAGACTGGACTGAAAGATGCTATTTGGATTTCTGCCAGCCACCTGGGCAGGAGACGGGCAACTTCTCGTGTGGTCACTTCTGTGTCTAGGCATCTGGGGAGTTAGTAAAGCCCTCCCAGGAGTGGGGGTGGAGACGCCTCTGAGTGAGGGGCCTGGTGGAGGTGAGAGCAAGGAGAGATTCCTGGGCCAGGGCCCCGGAGAGAGAGACCTCGACCTCCCACCCCACCTCTCAGTCTCAGGAGAGCTTCCTGCCCCACCTCCTGGGAAGTGCGGCGGGAGGAAGTAGACTAGGCTAGCTGGTGGCCGGCTCAGGCTCATCCCCGGGGAGAGTGTGGATTGACTATCCACTCTCCACCCAGACACCTTCCCCTCAACACATCAGCATGGAAACAGAAGAGTTACGGTAGCAGTGGGTTCCTGAGGGCGGGGGAGGGGACATCAGGCTCCTCTGGAATATGCCTGATCGCACCAGGGACTTGGGACCCGAAATATCAACTGGGTGTGGGGGCAGGGGCACCAGGCAAATTCCGGGGAAGGAGTATTACCTGTCTCCCTCCCACCCTCGCAGCGCCCCCCACCCCCGCACCCCAACGCCATCCAGCACACGCACTGGGCGGAAGCGCCCGCGGGCTCAGGGTTAGCGTTGCTATGAGAACAGCAGTTTGGACCGGGGTTGGGAGCCAGAGTATCCGGACCACAGGAACACTGAACCGGGGACCCAGCCGGCTATTCGTACCGCCTCCAGCCTCACCTGCACCCTTTCTCTGACCCC